AACTGTAAACAAACAAACAAACAACAAAACAACAACAAAAGGGATGAAGTCTCTAGCCATCCTATCCTTAGGTTTTAAAGGTACCTCTTGGGAACAGTATGGGCATTTAAAAATATCCATCACATTGTCTTCTATCTGGAGAGTTTAGTTCAATTGCATTTATTTTGATTCCTGATGTTTTTATTTATTTTTATCTGCTTATGTTCTTTGTATTTGTTGCTCTGTTTTTGTTTCTTTGTCTTTTTCCTCCTCTCTTAGAGGCACTATCAACCTCAGATCACTTTGAGTTAAAATTTCCATTTGAGTTTTTTGGAACATACAGTTGACCCTTGAACAACCTGGTTTTTAACTGGGTGGGTCCACTTATTCAAGGATTTTCTTCTGCCTCTGCTACCCCTGAGACAGCAAGGCCAAGATGACGAGGATGAGACCTTTATGATGATCCACTCCCACTTAATGAATAGCAAAGATACTTTCTCTTCCTTGTGATTTTCTTAATAACATTTTCTTTTTTCCAGCCTACTTTAAGAATACAATATACAATACATATTACATACAAAATAGACAACTATTTTAAATGGCACATGAATTTTATGGCCATCCTGTGTGTGTCAATTGCATTATCAGTACACCTGCTTGTCAACTATAGGCTATTCTGAGTGAGTCAAAAGTTACAAACAGATTTTTGACGGCATGGGGCTGATATCCTTAACCCCTTGTTGTTCTAGGATCAGCTGTAGTATGAGAATTTAGATTCTCTCCATGAAGGCTGCCTTGTGGATGTAACTTCTTAGGGGAGACTTTTTCTCCTCTTTCTGCCAAGTTCAAGAGAGACAAATGTGGGTGGCACCCGTAGCACAGTGGTTACAGCGTGGGCCACATGCATCAGGGGTGGCAGGTTCAAACCCAGCCCAGGCCTGCTGAACAGCAATGACAACTCCAACAACAACAACAAAATAGCCGGGCATTATGGCAGGCGCCTGTAGTCTCAGCTACTCAGGAGGCTGAGGCAAGAGAATCGTTTAAGCCTTTTGAGGTTGCTATGAGCTGTGATGCTATGGTACTTTACTGAGGGTGACATAGTGAGACTCTGTCTAAAAAAACAAACAAACAAAAAAAACCCAAACAGAGACAAATGTTTCTTTCAGCATGCCAGGTTTATTTCTTATTGTGTCTAACAGAACATGAGGGATCTGGTGCCCCAGCTTTCTGTGTGGCTGTGCAGAGTACATGTGAAGTAACCTTACTGAGTTGGGGGTCACCGGTGTAGTGGATGGCGTTGGTACCCTGCACAGACTCTTACTGGCTGCTGTATGTTTCCCACCCTCAGTTTCTCTGTGTGTACAGGTCAGGGGAGACCAGGTGTCCCCTTTGATCTTCTTCACCTGAAGCGTGTCCCTACTTACATGATTCTGTGTACAATGGAGCCCTTAGGAAAAGGAAATAAAAGTAAATAACTTAGGTTATTAAAAGTGAAACGATTTGCCTGCAAAATAGCCCCCAACAGGTAAAATTCAGCATCTGCTTCATTTTCCTTCCATAAGGAATGCATAGACAAACTAGGTAATATCACTAAGACATTGGTTTTATTCCTCGAGATAAAGTTTTAAATAGACTTTTTAGTTCAAATCTTTCTTAGGTGAGCTAAAGAACAGGAAGGAAGGAAAGAAGGGAGAAAAGGAGGAAGGAGATGTTCTCCATGCCCTACGGCCCATAGACTGAATAGCGAAGTTTTAAGATGGAAGGTTAAACTCAAGAAGCAGAGATGATGGTAATCTTTAGTCTGTTTCCTAACAGCAACCTGTCCCAGCTGTAAAGCCATCCGACATCAACATCCTTCCTCTCTCACCTATGCCAGCTTCCTCTCTCCATCTTCCTAGCTCATCGGAAGTCTCCTGTCACTTGAGGATCCTGGGGGCATCATCCATTAATCCCCTGGTGGATTCCTCTCAAAAAAGCTTTAATGTTTTCTTGACAGAGATCTTAGAACTATTCGAATTAGAAAATCTTCTGTTAAAATATGTCCACAAATTCGTTGCTAACCCTCCCACCAAAAGGTGAAGCCTAATTCTCTTCCCCTAGAGTGTGAGCTAGACTTAGTGACCAGTTCTACTGAGCAGCAAGTGGAGGCGCTGATGCTGTGACTTGTGAGACTAGGTCATAAAAGACACCATGGCTTTCTCCTTCTCCCTCTTGGATCACTTGCTCTGGGAGAAACTGGCTGCCATGTTGTAAGGACACCCAAGTAGACCTATGGAGAGGCCCACATGGAGAGTGACTAGGTCTCTTGTTAACAGCTAGCAAGGAACCCAAGCCTCCTGCCAATAGCTGTGTGTGTGAGATGTCTTGGGAGAAGGTCTTCAAGCCCCAGTCAAACCTTTGACTGCAGTATCCAGCACTGCCTAACTAAGCCAATTTTTGACCCACAGAAACTATAATAATAGTAATAATAATAACAATAAAAATAAAAAAATAAATGTTTGTTGTTTTAAACTGTTAAGTTTGGGGAAAATTTCTTATGCAATGATAGATAACAAATATATTCTCTCACATAAAATCATGCTATGTTAGAACAAGATGATTTCTTTGTGTTTGTGGTAGGCTTTTAGGTGTATTAGTAGCCATCGGAGGTCTGACAATAATCACCAGAGGGCTGATGATTATTGAGGACCCACTCTTGGTGCCTTCCCCAGGACTTGGCATTGTCCTTAGATTGGTGTGAAGGCGTGATGGCCATCCTTGGGCCTTCCATGCCTGATTGAGCTAAATTGCCAAGATTCTTGTGCTGAGGGCTCAGCTGGGTTAGCTTAGGGCCAGAGTACTTCCTTCCTGGGGAAGGCATATGACACTCAGGCAGTTTTGGGTTAGAGTTTGGACCTGGTTTCCCCAGAGATAAAGCATTGCAATACCTTCTTTATTTAGCCTTGACTAGGGACAGACTGGGGTGGAATACTCTACCCCATTTTTCTGGGTCATATGTCCCTATTCCCTCTCCATTTCCGGTTGTGTGCGATGTTTGGTGCTGGACTGGAAAGGGGAAGGAATGGGATGGAATTTAAATATTATTTTAATTGTATCGCTTATAAAATCTGCAAAATCTCCATCTCTCCACCAAAATTTGGGCTGACTTCCAGGGTGGGGGGATTCTCCCCAGAACCCCTGGGGAGCTGGGAGGGTAGTGGCTTTAACAAAGGTGACTGGTTGAGGTAGAGGACTCCCTTTAGATTCTCAGAGACATGGGGTGAGATGGTCCCTGGATCTGATGCCATGATGCTCACCTCAGTCTGGGTGCACAGGGTAGAGGAAAGGAAGGAGCTCTCTGCAAGCAAGATAACTGGGGCTTTTGAAGAGTCCTGGGCTCTGAGTCCCAGCCTGCTAACCCTGTGCACTCAGCAGCAAAAGCTTCTTAATGGTCCAGTTTCCTGGGCTTATCCCTCCTTGGAGACATTCTGCATAGAACAATGATATGACACTATGTGTAGAATTATTAGTAGTATAGAATTACTAGGGACGAGGCTCTGTGTTGTACCTTTTACAAAATTCTTCTAGGAAACCATCTTCAAGTTTTTTTAAACAATGTGCAGGATACCAAATTCCTTTTAGAATTTGGTGCATGAGAAAAAGTTTTCTCACTGGGTACAGTGGCTCATGTCTGTAATCTGAACTCTCTGGGAGGCTGAGGCAGGAGGATTGCTTGAAGTCAGGAGTTTGAGACCAGCCTGAGCAAGAGCGAGACCCTGTCTCAACTAAAAAAATAGAAAAATTAGCCAGGATTGGTGGTAGGTGTCTGTAGTCCCAGCTACTGGAGAGGCTGAGGCAAGAGAATCAATCGCTTGAGCCCAGGAGTTTCAGGTTGCAAGCCTGGGCAACAGAGTGAGACTCCGTCTCCAAAAAATAATATATATGCCCTAAACTATCTTCAAGTTTCTTTCAGTTAGAGAAGGAGAGCTGTGCTGCTCACTTTCCCCTTTGCCTGGCTGCTCGGAGACCACAATGCATTTCTTTTTTACAGTTTTTTGGCCAGGGCTGGGTCTGAACTTGCCACCTCCGGTATATGGGGCCGGCACCCTACTCCTCTGAGCCACAGGTGCCACCCTTGACCCCAGTGCATTTTTTATGCTTCTGGCATCAACTTCCTTCATGCTGGGGACTGCGGTATCATTAGTCTTCCCACCTACTATAACTGGACTTTGGTTTATTTACCTTTATTTTCATTCACTTCTTGGATGTTTGACTTAAACCACCTCACCTCCTTTGCATAAAGGTGATTTTGGAAATGTAGATCACTACATGAGCTGGCAGACACCTGTGCATGTATGCCATAGAAATAGTCTGTGAGGGTGGTAACAACCCTGTCTTCTCCTCCCAAGTCTGGAGCCAAGGGGATCCACTGTGAGTGTGGGGATCAGAGTTGCCTGAACCAAGATGTTGGGCAGGACAGTCAGGGCAGGGAAGGCTTTTCAGCTCCCCTAAAGGGCAGGATAAGCCATTGACCTCCTCCTTTGGTAGCTGACAAGGGCCTGAAGCTAAGCAATCAATGCCCCATATTATTATTATTTTGTATTTATTTATTTATTTATTTTGAGATAAAGTCTCACTCTTTTGCCCTGGGTAGAGTGTGATAGGGGTCTAGCTCACAGCAACCTCAAACTCTTGGGCTTAGGCGATCCCCTTGCCTCAGCCTCCTGAGTAGCTGGGACTACAGGCGTCCACCGCAATGCCTGGCTATTTTTTCTATTTTTCCATTCTTAGATGGGGTCTTACTCTTGCTTAGGTTGGTCTTGAATTCTTGAGCTCAGGCAATCTGCCCACCTTGGCCTCTTGAGTGGTAGGATTACAGACGCCAGCCACTGCACCTGGCCAAAGTCCCCACATTAAAGGAGAGGGGCCAGTCTGTATGTATGTGAGAGGAGAGAGGAAGAGAGAACACCAGTTTGGGTATGTGTGAAACGGTGGGCACAAGGATCAGCTCCCAGGCCGGGGCTTCTCTGAGTCCAGCATCAGCGGCGAGGTCTCTGCACATTCTTCCCAGAAGGATGAGTCTGAGCCCGGGAGTAGCCAGAACTAGGGCTGACTCCAGGGGGCTGTGATACAGGGCAGTGCTGTGAGGCAGGCGGCACAGTCTCCCTAGGAGAACTGGAGATCCCAGGGCCCTGTGCCTTCTTGTCCGGGGTCTGGTTTTGGCTGGCAGAGTGAGGTGTGGTCTCTGGAAATCAAAACAAGAATGAGATGTGGGAGATTCTGCAGGTTGCACTGGAGCTCTCCGGAGGCACCCTGCTGTGTGTGTAACTTTTAGTGCTATTTGAGGATGGGAGAGCTGTCAGACTGCCCTAAGGGGGCTGGTAGTGCTCTCCGCCTGGCTTTTGCATAAACAGATCTGTTGGAGGAGTATGGTCTGTGGCCTGGAGAACTAGACCCTTGGATCCTGGGTTTATTCTAGAGGACAAAATTGAGACAATGAGAATAGCAGCCTGGCAGGGTGACTGCCAGGACTGAATGTATGGTGTAAGGGAAGGGGCTGTGTGAACTTTGTGATCAGATCCACTTTCCTGCTCCTTCACTTAACTTGTTTCCTCCTCTTCCTCCAACTCCCAAGTTAGGGACAAGGACTGACTGCTCTTTACCAAATCCAGTTCCTTTTCTTTTGGGTCCCAGAAATGAACTATGTTTCCTTTGCAGGTGGGTGTGGCCTTTGACACGCTCCACTTCCGAGTGCACACCTGGGCTCTTGGCTATGTACCAGCTCCATGCAGGCAGAGCCTGGATGGAGGAGTCAGGGTCCTCCCATCATCACTTGTGGCCATCAAGTGGAAACACACAATTTGGATTCTGTGTTGAGTGAGAAGTAAACTTATATTGCATTGGAGCCGCTAGCCATTTGGGGCCTGTTTGTTAACAGCAACTAGTATCATTTAGCTGATACTTAAAAATAAGAATAAATAAATAATGCAGTTATTAAGAAATTGGAGCACATAAAAAAACTGAACTCCTAAACTATCAGTAATTTCTTCTGGATCTTGTTCAATTCTTTCACCTAAGACCAAAATTACTATGTATTAACACTGTTTAATTTTAGAACAGAGATATCCTTGGAAAATGGTTTCACTGCAGGATGGTCTCTTTCAACTTGAGGTTTCCTCATTCCCAAGTTGGAGGCGGTCTATAACCCCTCCTCTTCGGAGCTCTAGGACACTTTCTCTCTCCTTCCTTCCTTCCTTCCTTCCTTCCTTCCTTCCTTCCTTCCTTCCTTCCTTCCTTCTTTCCTTCCTTCCTTCCTCTCTCTCTGTCTTTCTTTCTTTTCTTCTTATTTTTGAGACACAGTCTCACTCTGTTGCCCTAAGCTAAATTGCCATGGCATCATAGCTCACAGCAACCTCAAACTTTTGGGCTCCAGTGATCCTCTTGCTTTAGCTTCCTGAGTAGCTGAGACTATAGGCATTTGCCACAACCCTTGACTATTTTTAGAGATGGGTTTTTGCTCTTTCTCAGGTTGGTTTCCAACTCCTGAGCTCAGGCAATCCACCCACCTTAGCCTCCCAGAGTGCTAGGATTACAGGTGTGAGCCACCATGCCTGGCCATGTTCTGGACTTTTAGGTTTGTTTACAAAGTTTCACCCCAGACACGTGAGTAATGTGTTGCACTATGGTATTATGACAGCTATATCATCACTTGGCAATAGCTGTTTTTTAGCTTCATTTTAACTTATGGGACCATCATTGTATAGATAGCCCATGGTTTACCAAAATGTCATTAAGTGGTTCCTGATTGTACCTCCTAGTATGCCTTGGCCTATTCTCTGTCTAGGTATTCTGTTAGGCACTTTACATGTGTGATGCCCTCTCAGCTTCACCGTCCCATGAGGCAGGTGCTGTGATTTATCCCTATATTAACTTGTCCAACCTCAGAATTCTGATTTCAATCCCAGATGAGGCTGATTTCACAGGGTATACTCTTCATCTCCTTCCCACATGGCCTTGTAAGAAACAATCATCATGAAAAAAGAATTTACCTTCCTTGGTGAGTTGGAGCTGGGTGGCATTTTTGGAGCTGGTTTTAGGTGCATCTGCCACATTGTTGGTTGTGTCTTTGCCTTTGACAGATTTATGGGTCTTCTCAACTTCACGGAGCTGAAGGGAAAAATGAACTGCTGGTCCAGGCCAGGGGAAGGGGAGTTTAAAGTTCAGAGTGATGAGAGAGAGTGGGGCTGTGTTTGCAGATCTTGGTAACTCCCTTCAACTGCCTATTACTGGTCCTTACATCTGATCGGAGAGGACAGCTTGAGACTTAGATTTGCAGTGGTTGAAGGAATATCTGGCCACAGGGCAGTAGTCCCCACTTACCCTCTGTTTCCATGGTTTTCTGTACCTGGGCAGGAGCCCAATGAGGTTAACAGAAGGAAGTGTGTATGGGAAGCAGCAGAAAGACCAATGAACTTAGCCCAAGAGAGGGACAGAGATGCAAGGGCAGGGCTTAGGGAAAGTTTAGGTCTGGCTTTTAGGATGAATGTGTGTGTGTGTGTGTGTGTGTATCAGGAGAAAGCAGACAGAAGTCAGGGCCAGCCGGATGTGGAGAGAGATTTCCCATATGTGAAGGGGACTCAGGAGACCTCTTAGGCTAAGGGGCATAAGCAATAGGTTATCTTTTTTTTTTTTTTTTTTTTTTTGATACAGAGTCTCACTGTATCATCCTGGGTAGAGTGCTCACAGCATAGCTCACAGCAACCTCAAACTCCTGGGCTCAAGTGACCCTCTTGTCTCAGCCTCCCAGAGTAGTTAGGATTACAGGCATGAGCCACTGCACCTGGCAAGCAATAGGTCATCTTGACAACAATATTTCTTTTAGTATTCTTACTATTAGTTTTAATCTATAGGAATTATTGTGGGTGCTGGATTTATTATGTATGAACATTGGTCGAACCCATTGAATTTCTCCTGTTCTTTAGCAAGCTCTCAACATTTAAGGCGTTATTGTTAAGTATCCCCAAACATCCTCATAACACAAATGCGACCTCATCATACAAATGTGCCTTGCAAGGCCGTTTCATACATTACAGATATTTGGGTATCTGGTTTAGAAGAAAGCCTTTTAAATAATATAACTGTACTCTCAGAGAAAATTAGCAAAAACCCCAAAACAGGACATCTTCTCACCCTCTAGGATGACACTCCTGACAGACTCACCGCTTGGATTTTCTTCCTCAGCAGGGCATTAGCACGAGAAAGGCTTTTGGAAACTGAGTTCAGGTAGTAAATGGCCAGGCTGCAAGAGAAAAGCATGCCTCATGTGGTCCTGTGATGTTGGCAAATGACAGAGCACCTTTCCTGGGAATCCAGGCAGGGTTTCTGAACAGGTGCTAAGGCTCTGTGTGGGGCTTGGGGTGTCCTATCATACTAAGTTCTCTTCTCAACACTGAGAAAGTCCTGGACAGCCCTCCTCCCTCTCTAATGTACTGGGTGTGGACACGACCTCCACATCTCTCAGTGCTCAGTAAACGTTGGCTAAAGGAGTTATCATCCATCTTCCGGGAAATCTGAGGAGGTAGGGGAGTGGCAGGGTTACGTGTCTGCAGAAGAAGCTGGTCATATTTCCTGGGCACCTGCTCCATGCCAGGCTCTGTACTCATGTATACCCTCAACCCCCCAACATCTCATTGGGTTTGATGAAAACCTCATGAAGTAGAGAGTAGACATCCATATTTACAAGCCAGTATCCTGGGATTCAGAAAGGTTAAATAACGTACTCATGCTTAGTACTTTTTGGAACCCATATTTGAAGCCTAAGCTCTTTCCACACTCTTCAAGTCTTGAGAGAGGAGAGGTAGAGGTACTAAGTGGTCTACTCTGGAGGTCCTGGCCTTATGGTTTTCAAAGTCCAGCCCTAACTGAGTCTTTGGGTGACTGGATGTCCTTTAAGGCTGCAGCCTGGGCTTTCTCTCTTATGGGACCTAAGATGTGGAGCTAGACTTGGATTGCACCACCTGGGGTCGGGGGAGGAGACACAAAGTGAGAGTGTCATCTGGATTAGGGGCTTTCTCTGTTGTCTGTGAGCTTTTTAGGTTCATCCTTCTTAGTAACTTTTTTCCATGTATTTTAGGCCCCAGCTGTTCCAACTTGGGTCTTTTGAGCCTTTCCCCTCAGGGTCAAGCTTCCTACAGCTGCCTCATTAGAGCCTATGCGCTCTCTCCAGCCAGGGAAGAGGAACCACATGGTGCTTGGGGCACAGTGCTGGTCTGAGGTTGTCATGTGAGCCTCCTGTCACCAGGACTCAGAGGACTGTGCCTGAAAGGAGGAGAGAAGGGAGGATGAATTTCTATTTTGTGAGGCCCTTACTCAGGACCAGGCCTTGCTATCTCTCCTAATTAACCCGTTTTTAGGGAAGAACCAGAGGTCAGAGGGGTGGCTTGTCAAGAGCACACCCACATGCCCAGCAAAAGGCAGATAAAATGCTCACGGGTGGCCGTGTTCCTCCTGAGATTGTTTTCCAAATTTATCATTTCTCTTGTTGCCTGTAGGGGTAGGTTTGGTGTCTGGGTTCCAGAATTTCCTCAGGAGGTCACAGGACAGTCCAAGTTGTCTCTTATTATGTTGTCCTTTTCATGCCAGGACTAGCAATAGAGCGTACTTAAAATCGAGGATCTAAAATGACATGCAGGTGTTTGCTGCTGGCAGTGGCAGTATTGAGGGCACAGAGAAGACTTTAAAAAATGTGTATTACAAGAATGATGAACAAATGAAAGGATTTACCCACTCTGGCTCCCTATAGAGCAGTGGTTCTCAACCTTCCTAATGCTGTGGCCCTTTCATATAGTTCCTGTGGGTCGCACCCCCCAGGTTGAGAACCACTGCTATAGAGCTCTGGAAATTTGTGAATCTGCATTCACCTCCAGAAAGCTACTGGAGGGTTGCTGAAAGAGAGGCACCATCACAGCATGGAGCCCAATTCCCTCCAGGCTAGTAGCCTTGGAGCAGCAGCCAAGAAACTGACCACAGACTTGAGGGAGACTGGCTCCCTCCTGACTACCCTGGAGGTGAAGGGAGCCCTGATGAGGAGCAGCAGAGGCTATTTCTTGAAATACTCTTTGGGGATTTCAACCCATACATAGGCAGAGACAAAGAGACATAGCTAAGGAAAAAAAGAGATGATGATCAAAAAGAGAGACTTAACTAAATCTTTAGAGCACATGCAAGGCTAAAGTTCAATCTAGATGTCAGCAAAACAGCAGAGTAAGGACCTCTGAAAATTCTCTCTTCCAAAATCAGTGTGAATATCAGCAAAAATTGGTAGAATTAGGGCCAGGCATGGTGGCTCACACCTAATCCCAGTACTTTGACAGACCAAAGTAGGGGGATAGCCTGTGGCTAGGAATTTGAGACCAGAATAGAAAACACAGCAAGAGCCTGTCTCTAAAAGAAAAGAAAAATTTTCCAGGTGTGGTGTCATGTACTTGAAGTCCTAGCTATTTGGGAGGCTGAGACAGGAGGATCACCTGAGCCCAGGGGTTTGAGACTGCACTGATCTCTGATTGCACCACTGCACTCTAGCCTGGGTGGCAGAGCAAGATGCTGTCTCTTTTAAAAAAATGGCATAATCAACTTTTTCAGAACTCTGAAAATTAACCAAAGGTTTGCAGCAAATCTAGGGAGTATCTTTTCAAGGAAAACAGTTGAATCTCAGGAAGAACAATAAGATTTACAGCATTTAAGTTGTCAAACTTCCCCCTCCCCTATCCAGCTCCATAGTAGGTTTGAAAATCAGCAGTCCCAATCCTGATGCAAACTTGTAGCTTGGCAGGCACTGGAGGAGGTAGAATGGAGTTGGAGCACTTTCAAACTCTTATTTCCAGAAAATTGTCATTATTTGATTTATCCATTGTTTCTGTGGAAGACATACCTCACCAGGCTGCCTGTATTTGAGCTGGTTCAAAGCTCTACCAGTGAGAATGGCTTTTCATCTGAGATTATTTGTCATAAGCAATCAGAGGCAATTGTTGAACATTATAGCTGTGTGAGTTGTTGAGAACATTTGGGGCAAACAATAGGTAAACCAAAAAGCTCATAATGGGAACTGGAGAATGAGATGTTGAACAGGGTCTTTACAAAGCTTCAAAATATTCCTGGGAATCTAGCAGATATGTGTAGGATGTGCAAGGCTGTGTGCATGCCCAGGACTGTGCACAAGTCCAAGAAAGACTTGAGATGGCCCTGAGCTCTAACCTCTGGCTGACTGTGAGTCTTTAAATAAGCAAGGAGTAAAGGCTAAAGTAAAGTTGTAAACCTACTGGTTGAGTATTGAAAGGATAACCCAATATATACACAAAGCCCCTTAGCAAATACTGGGAGACTTACTGGTTCCAGGCATATAAACAAATCTCTGACTAGTTCTTAGCTAACCCCTAAGCTAATTGGGCACAGACTTCCCTGGCAACACACAACAAAGAATAGAGTTTACAAAATTAGTTCAGAAAACTCACTAAACAAACAACCAACTACAATCATAACAACAAACTGCAATGACAACAAACCCTGGGAGGGGAGGAGAATCTGATTTTCGTAGTTGCCATCTAACATTATTTTACATATCCAGTTTTTAATAAAACTAATAAGATATGCAAAGAATAAAGAGAGTATGACCTGTACACAGGGAGAAAGTAGTCAATAGAAACCATTCCTAAGAAAACTGTTATGCTGTACTTACTGGACAAAGACTTTAAATAAGTTATGTTAAATATATTAAAAGAACAAAAGGAAAACTTTCCAGAAAGCTGAAAGAAAGTATGAACAGGTTATCTCACCAAATAAAGAATATAAAAAGAGAAAGAAATTATAAAATAACCCAAAAGAAATTCTGGAGTTGAAAAGTACAAAAAACAACAATTTTTTTTTCCTAAGTTGCTTAACAGTATATTTGAGCTGATGGAAGAAAGAATCAATGAACTTAAAATAGATCAATTGAGATTATCCAGTCTGAGGAACAGAATTAAAAAAGAATGGGATAAAATAACAACTAACCTGTGGGACAAGATGAAATTGTACCAATATATGCCTAATGGGAATTCCAGGAGGGGAGAGGAGAGACAGAAGGGGTCAGAAAGAATATTTGAAGAAATAATAGCCCCAAACTCTTCAAATCTGATAAAAAATGTTAAAAAGCTCTATGCAATCCAAGTAGGATAAACTCAAATAGATCTACACTTGCTCACATCATAGCAAACTGAAAAGAAAGCCACAGTCAAAAAGAGAATCTGGAAAGCAGCAAGAGAGAAATGACACATTATAGACAAGAATCCTGAGAAATATTGACAGTCAATTTTTCATCATAAATCAGGGAGGCCAGGTGGTAGTGGAATGACATGCCATGTTTCCCTGAAAATAAGACCTACCCCCAAAATAAGCCCTAGCAGGATTTCTGTACATTTGTTGAATATAAGCCCTACCCTGATAATAAGACCTAGTGAACAGCGTATCTGCATAGCCATGTCCTGCATTTTGGTGTGGAGTGGTAAGGAAGACCAGAATACCTTTTATCTGCCACAGCTCCTTTCTCTGAGCCATTCGCACTTGTGCAGGCGTGCGTGTGGTAACTAACTGAGGTTGCAGGCATCCTATTGCTCATGTGCCAATGGCTAGGGGAAAGGAGTTCACACATCACTAGCACCAGCCCCACCAACAAGGTCGGCTCCCCCTGTCAGGTTCCAGAAGAAGATGACTTAACTGTATTTGAATAAACATAGATTGTTGTATTATACTTAATAAGTTAGTCCTAAATAAACAAAAACTAAGAGAATTCTTCATTAGCAGACCTGTTCTAGAAAAAATACTGAATGGAGTCCTTCAGGTTTAAATGAAAGGACAGTATAGGTAACTTGAATCTACATGAAGAAATAAACAGCACTGGTAAAGGTAACTACATAGATTAATGTAAAAGAGTGTCAATGCAGCCTTTGTAGTTCTTTTTTTCTTCTAGCTGATTTAGCTGGCAAACAATGTATAAAGATGTAATTTGTATAGCAATAATAGCACAAAGGAATAGAGATGGAATAAAGTTGTATAGGAACAAGGTTTTGTATACTATTGTAATTATGTTGGTATTAATCTGAAGTAATTTGTTATGTTAATTGAAATCTCTAGGGAAATCATTTATAACTAAAACAATACACAGTAAAATAGTAAGGGAACTACAATGATATCTTGACAATATCTATTTAACACAAAAGAAAGCAGTCATGAGGAATAAAGTAACAAAAAATACATAAGACATATAGAAAACAGCAGATGTAAATGTTACCTTATTAGCAATTACATTAAATGTAAATGGATTAAACACTCCAAATAAAAGGCAGAGATTGACAGAGTGGATAAAAAACTGTGTCCAGCTATATGCTCAAGGTTAAAATTCAAGATTTATTGTCTTCTAGAATCTTAATCCCCTTCTTAAGTATTTTCTAGACTTACTATTTGTCATTATTCTAAAGTCTTATCAAGTAGGTATTGTAAATAACAACCTAAAATCATTTTTGGAAGTAATACCTCATTGTCTATGTGAGGGGTCAGCAAAACCTTTTTTGTAGAGTGACAGGAAGTAAATATTTTAGGTTTTATAGACAATATGGTCCTTCTCACAATTACTATTAAGCTGTCTGTTTGTTGTGCAAAACAGCAGAGATAAAAAATAAATGAATGAGCATGGATATGTCCCAATAAAACATTATTTATAAAAAACAAGTGTGGGCTGAATTTAGCTTGTGGGCTATAGTTTGCTGACCCCTGGTGTACATCAAAGGAAAAGGATTCTGACATAGATGGCCATCTATGCATAGGCTATTCACTGCATGAAGGCACCTGGCTAAGGGGGTCACTGGTGGCTGAAAACTAGCCATGTTCTGTTTCTTAAATGTGCCGGCATGGGCTTACCTCTGCCTCAAGGAGTGGGCACTGTTTTCTAATTCACACAAGGTACTATAGATGCTAGTGGTAGCTCTAAATTTACCACCACCTTTTGAGGTCACATTTATTTTTCTTACTTCTGAAGAATACCTTTCTTAATTAATAGATTTATTATACTAATGTTATAATGACTTACATTCCCTGGATACTTGCTTCCTTATCTCATGAATATACTTATCTCAATCTCCTCCCCCCCAAAGCAGCACTGTGCTTAACTGAAAACATTATAAGCACCCCCCAGTAAATGTAGGGGGGAAAAAGTATCTTTTATCACTAATATTAATGTTCTTCCCCCCTAGAAGGTACTAATTCATCTTATAGAGAAGGAAAAAAGAGGTATAAGAATTGGATAAGATGTAAACAGCATTACCTGTGTTTACAAATGAGAAAATGATTTACATGGAAAATTGAAAAGCTTTGTTTGAAAAACTATTGTAAACAATACACGCATAGGGTAACTGCATACTAAATATGGAAAATAAATAACATTCATATTCAGAAACAAAAACTAGTTAGAAGATATGATGAAATAATCATCCTATTTAATTATAAAAACATGAAATATATAGGAATAAATTTAGCAAGACATGAGCAAGAAATTGATGAAGATTTTAAAATATTACTGAGGGGCATAAACAAAGAAATGATAAGGAAGACAGTATTCTTGGTTGGGAACACCCAATAAGATAAATATACCAATTCTTTCTGAATCCTAATGAAAATGATCACAGATTATTCTTGTTTTGGGACTAGGGCAATCTGACTCTAATGTTTATTTAGAGAATCAAATAAGCAAAGAAAGGAAAGACTTCTGTTTTTGGCCATGACTGTGGAACTGATATTGGACCAGCTCTCCAGAAGAAAACAACTGTAGAATCTGGGCAAATTTAAAGCTGGACTTTAACACATGAGAAAGTAACCAGGGCACACAGACAGAAGGGGCGGTGGTGCTCACTTGAAGGAAAGTTAGCATGTGAGGAGAGCTTGACATTCCTCTAGCCTTTCTCCCTGAGGCTATTTTCTAATTTGTGATCTGGGAGTGGAGTCTAACAGAAAGCAGAATCTTAGAAAGTAGAATTTTATGATGCTGAGGAGACAAAGGTCAGAATTCATGACTGCCGAAATCTTTGGTCCTGGATGGTCAAAATTCCAGAGGGGACTGAAATGCAGATAAATAAGCCAAAATATATGCATACAAATTCCTCTCAAATCATTGACCAAATCTTCAATTGGGTCAGGAAACCCGGAAGAAAATGTCACCAGGGAGGTTGAGGAATGTAGCAGAGATTTCGGCAGTGGTAGCAGCAGTGCTGGAGAAAGAGATGAGAAAAGACTACAGAACTGGGAAAAGAGAATATGGGTTTCAAGTCCTGCCAAGATGAAAGGAGTTGGTAAACACTGTAGGTTTTTAGTTGGGACCATAGAAAGACCCTGGGGAATAGTAACAGTCTCATCCTAGGAGTAAGGTCAGTGCCCTGGCAATGGGGCAAAACTGAAATAAACCAGCCCTGGAAGGCCCAAAGCCAACAATGGCAAATTGTATTTTCTGAAGATGGTCATAATAATTTGGCTCCAGTCTTATGTGTGCCTCCAGAATATTGCCATTCCATCACCAAGAGGTGAGTCTATATTGCTTTCTCTTGAACCTGAGTAGGCCTTTGTGATTGCCTCAGTGGAGTATGGCAGAAGTAATGGACTCTAGCTTCTGAAGCTAGGTTATGAAGATGCCATGCATAACCACTGTGTTCTCTTGGAATGCTTGCCCTTGGAACCCAGGAACCATGCTGTGAGAAAGCCCAAGAAGCTTGTAGGGAGGACTGAGGCCTCTAGTCCATAGCCCTGGTTGAGTTCCAGCTGACAGGTACTACCAGCTGGCCAGTCACATGAGTGATCATCTTGAAAGCAGATCCTCTTGTCCACAGTTGAGCTGACCCAGCTGGCATTAAGTAGAGAAGAAGAGAACCGTGCCTGCTGAGCCCTATCCAAATTGCAGAATCATTATTAGAATAAATTATTGTTTTTTTTTTCCAGTTTGGGCTGGTTTTTTGTGCAATAATGGATAGTTGAAACACCAACCCTATCTTGATAGTGTTGAGGGGCCTAACACAGCTGCACATGAACCCTTTCTCCTCCTTCTCTCCTCCTAAGACAAAAGAGGAGAGATCTGGTTAGCCCCATTCCTAAAGTTCCTGCCAGAGGACCCTGACTTCCCTTCCTCCAAGCTGTGGAATTTGCCCACCTGCTATGGCCCCATATAAAAGGGATCTCTAACTGCTGTTGGGTGCAGATGGCCTTTGTACTGCCCAGGCAGGTCACTCTCCCCTTTCAATAAACTCTGATCTGAACATTTCTGCTCCAGTCTAGTCTTTTCTGATAGGATTAAGCAATTTGCTGGTATTCTATTTGCCTTTCAGAAAAAAAAAAAAAGAAAAAAAAGAAATCTATCCCTTTTGTGGAAAGATAACATTATCCACAGCCTCTATAAGTTTTTTATCCCCATGTTTAGAACCTAGTAAAAATTATATGCCATGCTTAAAGTAGGACTGAATGATAATCAAGAGGAAAAAAGTGACAATAAAAATATACCTACAGGTGATTCAGATATTGGAACATCAGACAAGGATGTAGAAAATAACTATGATTACTATGTTTAAGAAAATAGAAAGATGGAGAATTTCACCAGAGAGCTAGAATTTATAAAAAAGGAGCCAAAAAGGAATGTAATCATTTTGGAAAGCAATTCTATAGTGTCTAAAAAAGATTGAAGAAACACATACCTATGAATGACAATTCCCCTTCTACGTGTCTACCTTAGAGAAACTCTCAAAATAGTAAAGGGGGACGTATTTGAGGTGTTTGTTGGAGGGAAGTTTGCAATAGCAAAAAAAAGTGGAAAATTCCCATGCAGAGGAATGGATAAATGGATTTATTCAAACAATGGAGTGTAGTAAAGCCATTAAAATGTGTGGTCATGTAGCCACTCGCATAAGTCCTCTACACATAACGTTGTTTTAGAAGTATGTAGTGTGAACCATTCATAAAAATTTTAAAACTCAATAAACAATAGTATATACACATGTGGTAATAGTACCAAAATATGCATAGAAATAATTAAGTCTAATCTGTATAATTGTGACCTTTGAGGAGGGGAAGATGAAGAATGGGGACAGGGGAGATTTAAGTATATCTATACCATTTATTTTTTTAAAAAAGAAAGATAGACTTGAAGAAATTGTTACAAAATGTTATTTAATCTTGTGAGAGTGTACATGACTATCTGTATTGTTCTGCTTGTTGAGAATATGTCAGAATTTTTAAAAAGTATGCCAAAGTATATTTTTGTTTTTTTGTTTTTAGAGGATCTTACTCTGTTGCCCAGGCTAAAGTGCCATGCCATCAGCATAGCTCACAGAAACCTCAAACTATTGGGTTCAAGTGATCCTCTAGCCTCAGTCTCCTGAGTAAGCTGGGACTACAGATGGTCACTACAATGGCTGGCTAAATTTTCTGTATTTAGTAGAGATGGGGGTCTCGCTCTTGGTTAGGCTGGTCTTGAACTCCTGAGCTCAAGTGATCCTCTAGCCTTAGCCTCCCACAGTACTAGGATTACAGGTGTGAGCCACTGTCCTCCAAGATATGAGTTTTATAAAGAAAAATTAATATTTTCACTAGCACATTTTTTGGTGCCAGCAATTCCAATCCAAGACTCTGACTTCCTGCCTCCTTCCCTAGTTCCTTCCTGGAGCATTTACCTTTTCCCTCCTATGCCCTAGGCATTATGGTGGTGCCGAAGATAAAGAAATCATTGAACTCACCCATTGTGGGCTTTTGCAGTTGTTGAGGGTGATAGTGATGAATGAACCAGCCAGGCTGAATCATCCTCTCAGCTTTCTAACATGCTCAGAGCCCAGACTGAGGGGGCATAAGAAACCTGTGAAGGAAGTCTCAACTGCAAGGTAGAGTCATCACTTACAACATCAGCAGGATGGCTGGGATGATCAGGCCTGGATTGGCGAGGAAAGCAAAGATCTTGCCCAGGAAGGTTGGGAAATCATTTTCGATGGTCTCTTGGAGGACATCATACATTCTGTTTTTCCCACTGGAAAAAAGAGAGAACACATTATAGCATGGTGCAGAACTCATATGGCATACACAACTGCGTCCATGCTCAGAGCTGCCACTTGCCACACCTTGCCTGGGAGAACGAGGGCTCTGCTCCAAAAGGACTACCTGTGAAAAATACCCCATGAGGGGCTGCCTTTTTGTCTAGGGCTTATCACTGGGTCAGAGTACTGGCTCACCGGCCTCATATCCTGGGTAATTTACAGCCTTTCAGACTACATCAGTCTTCTGTATCTGACACGTTTCTCAGCAAGGAAAAAACGAGTTTTCTTACTTATGTAATGTATTCTAATGGGAGAAAATTTCAGTGCTAGCGCTACAAGACCGACAGGGGGCTTCCTCTGAGCCCTCTGGCATAGAAACAGTCCTCTAAAGCAGTGATTTTCAGCCCCCATGTTCTGTGGCTGAGAGGATCTTAGGTGTGCCCCCATGTGCTGTGGCTGAGAGGATCTTAGGTGTGCCGTGAAAAGTTCTAAAGATCATTAAATTATTATTGGAAGAAGGTTAAGGCACAGTAAGTGTATTTTTTTCTTTTTTGAGAAAGAGTGTCACTGTGTCACCCTGAGTAGAATGCCTTGGCGTCATAACTCACAGCAACCTCAAACTCCTGGGTTTAAGCAATCCTCTTGCCTCAGCTTCCCAAGTAGCTGGGACTACAGGTGCCTACTACAACCCCTGGCTAGTTTTCTATTTTTAGTAGAGACTGGGTCTCACTCTTGTGCAGGCTGGTCTCGAACTCCTGAGCTTAAGCAATCTACCCGGCTCACCCTCCCAAAGTGCTAGGATTACAGGTGAGAGCCGCCATGGCCAGCCTGAGTATATTCTTTTTTTCACTTTTTTTTTTGATTAACATAATTTAAGTGTGACACGAGAATTTAACTATAGGTTCAAGTGTGTTGTAAGATAAAAAACATTGAAAAGCACAGATCAAGAGGTTGATATGATGGACAACTTTATGGTATCACTCAAAAATACCTGCAATCAGTCTTTATAATCCTAGAAGATTGGATTACCTAATCTAGGCTTCTGGGCATTTCATATCAGCAATTTTGATTTTCTTTATGTATGAACCATTGTGTAGATTGACTTCTACAAATGCCTGCGTAGAGACTCTTGGACTCTGTTGGCTCATGGTTGGTAATTTTGGTCCCAAGATGTGTTTGATGGGGTTTGGAATTGCTGGCTTAAATCCTTATTACTTGTGAGACTCCATGGACAATTATTCTCTGTCTATATTTATACCCTGATTCTTCCCATTAGAGTTGCATAGTCTAATGTGGCTATTTAAAATAAGTTCAAAATTAATTTAAAAGAAATAAACTTAAAAATTCAGTTTCTTAGTTGCACACTTCATGTGTTTATAGTCATGTGACTAGTAGCTGCTATGCTAGAATTACAGATGTGGAATGTTTTCATCATTACAGTAAGTTCTATCATATATTCAACATCTGTAGTGGTTGGATATCTTTGGCCAAGATACTGAAAATTTCTGACCTTATTTCCTTACCTGTATCATATAATAATAATATAGTAGAATATGATATTATAAGTATAATAGTATTTGCCTCAGAAGATTTTTTGAGGATATGGATGTCCATTTACATAAAACATTACATATAGGGCTATCAAGTGCCCTCCAAATGTTGAAGCTAGCAGCTTCATTTCTCCCTGTGTAAAGTATAGATAAGGGGCTGGTAGACAATGACCCATGGACAAATTTGGCTTGCCTGTTTTTGTATACGTGAAAGCTAGTAATTTTTTGTCCTTTTTTTGAGATGAAGTCTCATGTTGCCCAGGCTAGAGTGCCATGGCACCAGCCTAGCTCACAGCAACCTCAAACTCCTGTGTTCAAGTTGTCTTCCAGCCTCAGCCACCAGAGTAGCTAGGACTATAGATGCCTGCCATGACACCTGGATAATTTTTCTATTTTTAGTGGGTCTCACTCTTACTCAGGCTGGTCTTGAACTCCTGAGCTCAAGTGGTTCTCTTGCCTCGGCCTCCCAGAGTGTTAGTATTATAGGTATGAGCCACATATCCAGCAGCTAAGAATCATTTTATATTTTCAAGTGGTTGAAAAAAAATTAAGAGAAGCATATTATTCTGTAACACATAAAAATTAACGCATAAAATTTAAATTTTAGTATCTGTAAATAAAGTTTTAATGGAATACAGCCATGCTCGTTCATTTTTTGTGCTATAATGGCAGAAAAGAGCAGTTGCATAAGAGACTGTTTGTGGCCATCTCATTGCTGAGAACTGTTGCCCAGCACACTATGAATTGCAATAGGCAGTTATAACATGAAGGCATTTCAAATGCCATGTATGTCACTGTATGATGACATTTGTTATTATTTTTTATTACCAGTGCGTACTCACCATGTAAAAATAACAAAAGAAAAGTGACTTCAAAAGCTATGCTTTTATGTAACAGTTGAGTGTAGGTTATTTTGTCATTTACGGCACCAAGGCATCAGCAGGGATCCTCTAGGGGAGTGTTTGTTTCTTTAATTTTTCCAGCTTCTAGAGCCATATTCTTGTATTCCTTGGCTTGTGGCCCCTTCCTTCATGTTTAAAACCAACAGTATAGAATGTTTTTGTTTTTGTTTTAGAGACAGAGTCTCACTTTATCGCCCTCTGTAAAGTGCCATGGCAGCGTCACACAGCTCACAGCAACCTCCAACTCCTGGGCTTAGGTGATTCTCTTGCCTCAGCCTCCCGAGTAGCTGGGACTACAGGCACCCGCTACAACGTCCGGCTATTTTTTTGTTGCCGTTTGCCCGGGGCCAGCGCCCTCCTCACTGAGCCACAGGTGCCGCCCAAAAAACCAACAGCATAGAATTTTTAAATCTCTCTTTGCTCCCATGGTCAATTCTCTCTCTGCCTCCTACTCTTATAAGGACACTTGTGATTTAAAGTCCACCTGGACAATCCATGATAATATCCCTATCTTAAGATGCTTAACTTAATCAAATTGGCAAGCAGCCTTTTTTCATATAAGGTAATAGCACAGGTTCCAGGGTTTAGAACCTGGATATCTTATTCAGCCTACCACAGTCTTCTCTGGCTCCCAAAGATTCACAATCATTCCATACGCAGCATACAGTCACCCCATCCCTTCGTTCCCCAAAGTCTCAACTCATTACAGCATTGACTCAAAGTCCAACATTTTATCTAAATATTATCAGCTCAAAAGTCCCAAATCTCATTATCTTCTAAGTCATCTAAGTCAAGTATGGGTGAGACTTTGTGCATATTCCATCTTGGGGCAAAATTCTTCTCTGTTTTTTGGACCTGGGAAACTAGATAAAAATGTTTATGGGACCACACCAATGGTCCATCTTACAAGGGTACATGTGAATCTTTGTAAACGTAGAATATAAATGTCTTAACACAATAACTAAGAAAATGCCATGAAGGCTATGTTAACCAGTTTGGTGAAAATATTTCAAATTGTATATAAAACCAGCACACTGTACCCCATGACTGCATTAATGTACACAGCTATGATTTAATAATAATAATAAAAATCTTCCAACAAAAAAAAAAGAAATTTTTACTCTCAGGGCGAAGCCTGTGGCTTAAAGGAGTAGGGCGCTGGCCCCATATGCTGGAGGTGGTGGGTACAAACCCAGCCCCAACCAGAAACTGCAAAAAAAAAAAAAACAATTTTTTTTTTACTCTCAAAATACAATGGCAGGACAGCCTAAGGTAACAGTTATAAATATTACAACATCAAAAGGAAGAAAATAGAGGAAAGAAAGGAATCACTAGTCCAAAGCAATTTTGAAATTCAATCAGCCAAACTCCATTAGGTTTTACAGTCCTAAGAATAAAACTCTGGGTCTAGACTCTACCATCTGTGCCTGCAGCTCTGTCCTCCAGGTTGATACCTCTGCCCTTGGAATAATAGTTCCTTTTTCTGGAAGGGTAGCACGTTTCAGCTGAATAAATTGTATCAGCCTATTTCCTGCTATACAATTCTGGGAGGCCACCAGCCTTCCTTTATTTTGTCTTCTCTGTTTCTTTTAGTTCAAGCTGGTAATGTTTCTGCTGATATAACTCTCTCAAAAACCTTATGGGTTTTCCATGTATGTCATGAGAATTCATTCTGTTGGACAAGAACGTTCTCTACTATCTTTCCTGGGTAATTTCTATTCATGACTTCTACTGAGATGGTTGAAGGAATACATCAGTCACATCAGTCACATACTTAATCTTTTTACAGTTCTTTTTGTAAGTGAATATTCAGATCTTTTGATCCTTCAGAAACACTAGCAAAAGATCATCCAGCTTCACCCTTAGGTTTCCTTTTAGAGCACATTCCACTTCCAATAAATCTAACGTTAGCATCTTTTGCAATCTGGATAGGGTGAGAATTTCCAAAGTAATCAAGTCCCGGTTCCTTTTTGTCTATCAGTTTGCTCTTCAGTCTATCTTTTTCCTTTCACATTTTACTATAAGGAACATGAAGAAGCCAGGCTGCACCACTAATACTTTGCTTGAGACTCTTCTCAGCTAAATATCCAAATTCATTTCATACAAATTCAGCGTTCCCTACAACTGCAGGAGATGTTCAGCTAAGCCTTCTATCTGTGCATAACAAGAGTCCCCTTCCTCCAGGCTCTAAAATCATGTTCTTCATTTACCAGTGTCAAAGTAATTAAATTGTGTTTGATTGCAGGAGCTGAAGAAATGTATCTAGAGAAAGTATTAATAAACATTTAAAAGACTTCTAGAATTTCCATCCAGAGCAACTGACTGAAGAGTTCAGGATATTGAGAACAATTCAAAAACAAGGAAGTGGGCCAGGCGTGATGGCTCACACCTGTAATCCTAGTACTTTGGGAGGCAGAGGTGGGTGGATTGCCTGAGCTCACAGGTTCAAGACCAGCCTGAGCAAGAGGAAGACCCTGCCTCTAAAAATAGCCAGGCATTGTGGTGGGTGCCTGTAGTCCCAGCTACTTGGGAGGCTGAGAC